GTGGCATGGGAAAAATCAATGGGAAACTTTACTACCTGGCTATGAAACCGAAGTAAAAATTTTCAATTTAAGTGATGAGGAAATAGCATCTCAGCCTAGAAGTATCCCTTGAAAAAAAAGAATGCAAAAGTCAGCTCTACAGCAGAGTTTACAGACAAGCTTAAAATATTGCACACTGGAATACAAATATGTTCCTGAATTACTAGCTCCAGTATTTTTCACATTCAGGCATGAAAGATCAGTTTTAATGTCTTAATTATTCCTTTGTTCAAGAACTTGTTCAGTTGAAAGCCTTTTGTAAGTGCATGCTGTGGCTCCACAGTTCTGCTTTCTGCAATCTAAAAGATTTCTTTCCAACAATCTGCTCATGTAGGGATTAATACGATAGCAACTGGCAAATCTTGTGCTCAACTGGCCATTGCCTTTGGAGGCAAACCAGGTGGCAAACTTAGTTATGTAGGAGGTTGGAACAGATGATCTAATAGTCATTGCTGTTTCTTACTTAAAATACCTGACTTCTGCCAGGGGTGAATTCATGTGCAGAAGGGGAAACAGGCTACAGCCCATCTCTTCACACTGCTCCTGGTCATGACAGGCTTCTCTGCTCTGCTGCTCCCTAACCACATTACAGGTGCTTCTGGTTCTGCCTCCCAGGGCTGGCTGCCACCCAGACCACAGCTAGAGCAGCAAATTAAACTGTGGAGGGAGGAGGGTAAGGATGTGAAACATGGATAATGTTCTCATGGTGGAGGTGGGGGAAGCAGTCATGTTAATATGTGAAAACTAGGCATAACTAGTAGGAAAAAAAAGTAAATGGTGCCAATTAAAGTGATTGCTCCTTAATGATGTGTGTTATCACAAGGAAGTTAATCTATTGACATGGGAAGAAGGCTGTACTCTAGTAGGCATGAGACAGTGTTTTTCTTTTTTTCTCATGGAGAAATCTCTGGATGAAAAAAAGCCCTTGACCAAAGAATCAACTGGTTGATTCGTCAAGTCTTCAGCTGCTTATGTAAAATAAGTACAGACAACCTTAAATTTGTAACAAAGGAAAGTAAACAGCAACTTTCTAGGGATTTTATTTAATCTATATATTCAAACTGACAGTCCTCTGAATTTCAGTCTGCTCTTCTTGAGAAAGGAGAAAATTTCCATAGGGTTCATGTTACTAGTTGATTCAGAATGCCTATTATAATTGTGAAATATTGGTAGGAATGGATTGAGATATATTCATGACGGTAGGTGGACTAATGGAATTCAGTGACTTTATTTAAAATGTGCAGGAGTTTATTATAATACCATAATAGAAATGTCATTTACCCTGACAGGAGGAGAGGGAAAAACCCTGTCAATGAATAATAATGAAGTTATTTAAATGTCAACTTTCTTGCAAATAGTTTGAAAAATATAAATTATTCTACATGTTTCTAGTTTTGTTTTAATTTATTACTGGGAAAGTCAGAGCTTCAGTCCCACAGTTTTGGTGTATTTTTTTATACTGTGAAATGAACTAGTAATAATGAAAATGTTTATCTTCTTGGGTGCTTGCAGAAATCATTCTGCCTTACTGATAAAAATAGGGAGTTGGATTTTAAACAGCTACTGGTAAAATTTGGGTTTAATGGAAGTAATTACAACTAATATGGTGGGACGGGTGCGAAGTTCAGAATTGAGTCTAAATACTTTGTTTCTGAATATTATTCTTTTACTGTCATTTGCATTTCCATAACATCCACAATGTCCAAACACATATCTGTTTCCATATTTAGTTAGACTTGCACATGTATCAAGTCTCTCTGCAGGCCTTCTTATTTAAAACTCATCTGGGCTTACTTTGAGGTAGTCTGTAACTGTACCAAGCCAAATCAAGCCAAAATGAAATAATATACACAAGAGTTTAAATTAATTTGATGAAAAATATATAAACACTCACCCCTTCCAAACAGTTTGAGAAACCATTCCAACATCCATGTTTACACAAGAGACAATAAATAGGGCTTACTATTCACTCATTTACATAGAGTTATTTCAGTAGCTTGGCTGTTCAGCAGATGGTTCAGAAGGTAGAGTTGCATTTTTATGTTTTCAACTCTACAGGTTCTGGGTTTAGTCTTTTCTGATGATTTATCCAGGCATTTGCTTGTTCCACTCATGTTATACAGATGGACTAAAACTGAGTTCTCTCTGCAGAACTTCAGAGAAGCAGCCTTCTACACAAAGTGTAGGAGATGTTGGTTGGTACATATCCATTCCCCTTCAGATAACTGGGATTACATTTGTTGATCCTACACGGTCATTAGTGCCCACACCCTGCTGAGGTACAGCTGTCTTTTGCAGCACTTCCAGGTTCATCAAATGATGTTTTCATGGGTTAGGAGCCTCATGCTGCTTTCTACACCCATTTAATAAGACAAACAAAAAGCTCATTATCCAACCTGCTAATCAATGCCTGCCTGTATACATATATATGTATATATATAAAACAGGAATAAGATGAATGCAGGTTGGTGATACCCTTGGGTTAGATCCCAACAGAAGCTTCATGTGTACACAGTGTTTCAGTAAATACAATTCTTTTGTTCCACTGCTTTGCATGTGTATCTATTACCATTTCTTTGCGTTAAAACACTTCTGGGTGCCTAGCTGCTGTTGTATATATAATGTTTACCTCCTTGTTAAAATTAAGTGTAATTGCAAAGTGATGTAAGAGTAACAGCATGTAATTGGGAAGGTAGAAGGATTTGCTATTGTCAGTTCAGAACACTATAATGAGAGTAAGATCTAATAGTATCTCCTTTGATGGCTTGTGAATTTATTCATCTGCAAAAAACTGATGTTTTTCTAAGGTTTCCAATCTTTCAGTTTCTTTTATAGATGTTGACAGAAGCACAGGCTTCCATCTGTATATAGTGTTACCTGTAAATAAAGCCATGAACGCAAAACAACTGCCTAGAGATTTGAAGTAAGAAGTGGCAATTCTGACTGAGATTACCATTTGCAATACGCCATCGACATCTGTTTGCCTGTGCTGTGGCAGGGGTACTGACTGCTTTTCTTGAACAATTTCAAAGCAAGTTTTATACCTCAGATTTTCTTTGCTCCTATCCCCTTTTGAAAAATCCAATTTTGAATTCACTGTCACTGGTATAAGGAAAAGCTGCACTATTTCATTAATATATTTTTCCTAACTCAGCAGGTCAGATATAGTCCTTAAAATCTTTACATGTCTTTTTATCAGCTCAGATTTCACAGGGTTTTAGGCAGACAGCAACAGAAATATTCTGAGAAGGCTGAGTGGTGAGGTGGGACAAGGTAACAAAGTGAAGCAGCACTCCTTGGCAAGGTTGTGTTCAGATCCTGCTGTGGCTCCCTTCACCTGAATGCTGGAGCATCTCTGAAATATTCAGTAACTGTAATAACCGTAACAATATCCTACTTCTCCAACCACTGAGGAAATACTCTGTTAGTTTATATGTGCTCCTGAGAGAGATGACCTTATAAAGGGGAAGATCAGTCAGCAGATGAGAATTTGATGTTAATGTTCTCAACACCAAAGGTCATATGCACACACAGGAGTGCATGTGTTTTTTGGGGGAAAGGAAAAATCTGTGGACTTAAATTGTAGGTCAGTTGTTACATACGCAGGCAGATATGTGCAAAGGCTTCTATAAAGTTCTTGAATAGAAAGACTCAACTTTAATGCAAATCTGCATTTTAGCGTGATTCATCTTTAATGGGTAAAACCCCAAGCTGCTGCTTTCTTGTTTTATTCATGTACTGGTTGCAAAGTCTGGAATCCCAGAAGCTGTGGCATGAATATAGGTGTGGAGCCTGATCCAGAAATTTAACACCCTCCATACTTCACCCAAGAAAAAACCCAAAAGAACAGAACATAAAATGTCTTAATACCTTGTGAATTTAGCCTTTGTTGTCCAGATAGGAGACAACCTACAAATAATGGGTGCCAAGGACATGCTTTAGAATGTCTGGTTTTGGAGTGATTAGCAGAAGGGAAAATTCATGTTACTGCATGCAAGTGAAGTTCTATATGGACCCATTTGTACAAGTTACAGATGAGATGGAGGAATATATTATGCTTTAAATGTATCTTTTACCCAGATACATGTCATTTTCTGTGATTTGTGAATACCTACTGTACTGGTTTGGGCTGATTATCCAAATCCCTGAGATACTGGGGCAGAATTCAGGCAAGCATGAGCTGCATAATGAACAAATCTTCTGCTGACGATTGATCTTGGTTCTAGTCACATGTTAAGGATAGATGTTACAGGAACTCTGCACGGTGTTGTTTGTTGACTTCTTTTGTTCCTCCCCAAGATATGTAGTTGGTGTCTTTATGGGCAGCCCTCATATCAGAAATATTTTCTTTATTGAATGGTGGCTTTTAAAGTAAGAGTAAAGCACATGTCCATATTCTCTGCTAGTCAATGTGAAAAAAAATAACCAAAGCAAAGCAAACAACATATAAGCTGTAGATGTAATATTCATATCATTAGAGTTTCAAAAGGATATCAATGTTTTTTTTGCAGAAAACTGAACTCTGATTTCACTGAACAATGAGCTGGAGCAACTACTTTGGAATGCACTGAGATAAAACATCTTAACATAATTAGCCTAAGCTTGGAGTATACGATGAACTGATAAACTTAGTCTCTTGCTGTCTGCTATTTGGCATTTTTGACAATCATTATCATCTTCTATATGCTGAATTTAGCATTTCTTATTGTACATGTTTATTTTAAAATGCTTTGGGAAGATGCTGGTTTAATTTTTCCTAATCTAATTTAAATGCAAATTATAAACACTCACATGATGCTGTGTGTATATAATTAAGTGTCATTATATACTACATGAATCATTGAAAAAGCCCTAGAGAGCCATTCCACTATGTAAAGCATGACTTATATTGAAAAGCTGCCAAGTGACTTGTGGTTTTGTGATTAAGTGTTTGTACTTATAAAATCTCTTTTGAATTGTAGGTCAACAGATTATGGGACAACGTATGAGAAACTGAATGATAAAGTTGGTCTGAAGACTATTTTGAGCTACTTGTATGTTTGCCCGACAAACAAACGTAAGGTAGGTGATAATGTGGTTGGCTCGTTTTGGCTTTATGATGCAATTTGTGTCCTGGAAATCTCTTCCAATTTTCTCAATATGTGTTACTATTTAAATTGGAGAAATCTGTCTCTCCTCCCTTGAAAAAATGTGTAGCTTTATCAAAATATAAACCAAATTATACCATCTATACCATCTACCAGTATACTTTAGGCAACATGCTTTAGCTAAAGATGGCTGTTAAATGGATAGGCATAATAGATATCATGCATTTAATTGTTTGCTTACCTTCTGGATGGTGATGATTTTGTTGTCTGAAAGGGAGACAGACTCGTTAAAATGGCAGAAATGCATCTACAGTGACCAGATTGTATGTAACATTATTTGTCTTTTAAGTGCTCCCAATAGTGAACTGAACAGGATTTGACAAATTCCTGCAGAGAAAATGCCTTCCGGAGCCCAGAAGGTTTTAATCATTCAGACACCCTACTGACTAACAATTTACTAAGAATTTATAACGCTCACATATTCATAAAAGGCATCTGGATGCCTTCCTTGAGATACACTTTTGACAGAATTTTTGTAATTTGATGGTAATAGGAAGTCTGAAACAGAGTTCATAACGATAATGACAACTTGTACTCTCACATATGCTATGTGACATATCGATATGCTACTAAACAATATTGTGTTTAAAGACCCTCCTTTGCACGCCCTTTAAAAAAGGTTTTAACTCTCATATTTGGTAATAGGCAAGCATTACTTACTGGTGTTTTGGTGTAGAAACTAAATAATAGTTTAAGTCATACTGAAATTACTAGCAAATTCATTTCAGATTTCCTCATACGTTCAGGAAAAAAAAGAATGAAAATAAAATGAAAATGTGATTAAATAAATGGCAGTAGTGTGACACCATTATCCTCTTGGCTTACTAGTTATGAGGCTACAGTGCATATGCAGTGGGTGGAAAGCCCAATTCCAGCTCATTTCCAGAGGGAATACGAAACTGGCTAGAGTAGTTTTCTCGTCCTTGCTTTCAGTCCTTGTACATAGTGCAGCTTATTACAGTCAGAACTGAATTGCCTGTGCAGAAAGTACTAGTAAAGACTTACCTCTAAAGGAGGCTGTGTATATTTGGGCAGCTGAGGTCACTGTGATGCCGTTTTCATTATACTGAAACAGTTATGTGATCTTTAAGACAGACTGTGAAAGGAAGAGAGGGAGCTGTCCTAACCAGAAAGGACAATGTTTAGCTTTGGTCTCTTGTAGTTCATCTTTAACTCTTTGTTCAAAAGAAAGAGACACTTCTAGGCATGAGTCATTCGCCCTATTAACAAATTGAACCTAGGATAATAAAAAACATGTCCCAGTGTCACCTGCTTTCACCCATGGACTGTCAGTGGAAGTCTGTACCACCAGCTGAGATGTAGACATATTGCAGGGTATACTCCATCCTACCCTCTACTCCCCCACCTGAGAATAATGCTTTGTTCATAACCAAGAAACCTTTCATTGATGTTCAAGGACTTTCCTCCTTCCCTTGATGGAACAGCATTTGCAAACACTGGAGCATAAAACTAGGGTGGACTTTTAAGATAATGCATTCCACTTCCTTGCTACAGGCAGCTGCCTCATGTGGTCCTAATATGACAGCTGTCAGGTGCTTTCTTAATGGTATACTGATTAATGGATCGTAACTGTGGAATTCCAGTCCTTATATATTCTGACAAATTTAAGTTTTGCTGGAAGACCCTCAGAAAAAAAATTGGCCAACATTTAACCTTTGTAAAAATTGCTGATTGATTCCTCATATCTACCTACATTGCTTTGATTATACAACACTGGAGAAAGGTGTAGGGGTGGAGAAGTAGTTGTAGGTCAAAACAAAGAAGAAACAGTATGAGTTCAAGTCTTCTTATGAAAGTCAAATTAAATTGCAGTTAAATGGTTTCAAATTAGTGGAGAGATGTCGTCTCATTGCAGCTGACCCGTGATGAAGATATGAAGCTGTTCTCTAGAAGCTAAAGAGTGAAATTATCAGATCACTTAAATGACCTTCAGCTTTGAGGTTTGAAAGATGGTCTCCTGAAACAAAAACTGTGATGTGGAGAATTACATATGTGTCTATCTCTAAAATCATGCCAGATGTTCATTGTGGAGAGATAATGTTGTTCTCTAGAACTAAGGGTTTCAGCTGGGCAAAATCTGCAGGATCCCTTAGCTTTTGTGCTGCAAAGAAATCTAAGAAGAAACCAAAAGTTTTGCAAGCTTGTTAAGGCAAATGGAGTGCAGGCTGGCTCTGAAAAGCCTTCATCACCTCTGGCTGCACCTTCCCACTCCCTTCCTTGCACTGCCACCCTTGTTTGTGTAGCCATCTGGTGAGCTGGATCGAGGACTGCTCTGCCTGAAAACTAATGTCTTTCCAGCTCAAAACCCAAATAGATGAAAGGAAAATTATTTCAGGTGGAAGTGTGGAACCGTCTGTTCTGGCAGTAGGCTGCACTAAAGTTGGCCTGTAATCAATATGGGACAGTGCCAGAGGAAAGCTGCAACACCTGGGATGAGATGACCTATGTAGTGGCCTAAGATTGAATTTTCCGAAACTTATTTCAGCAGG